TACTCAAGTAAAGTACAAGTACTTCAAGACTGTGCGGTACTTAGAGTAAATGTACTTAATTACTTTCACTCTCCACTGCTGCTAATACAATTACAGAGCCTTTAGTAAACATGGATTTTAATATTGTTCAATGACCCAACAGGTAAAGTCCTGAACTCCTGCATGGAAACAAAGATGGCGTCTATTATAGAAGCTAATATCAAAAAGGTAAAAGACTAACTAAACCACCACAGACACACAAAGACTATTAACATGAAATAATAAACTCTATTGACGTTAAAACATATTTCTACAACAACTAATCTTCCATTGTCTCACTGCTCATGACTGAGCTCCAGTGTTTGCTAACATTATATTGTGTAACATTTTATATTGGTGATGAAATGACAAGCTAACACTGGAAATGAAAGAGTGTGCTATCAGCTAGCTTACATTACTTAGCTAAACTGTGACTTAAGGCTAAAGTTAGAAACTAGCTAACATTAATTAGCTAAACTGTAACGTCAAGCTAAAGTTAGAAACTAGCTAACATTACTGTTCATCTGTTGAAACTTGACACAATCTAATTCAGAAACTTAGATGGTAAGAAAGTAAAGTGTACTAAACAAGCTAGATAGTTAGCTACTGCTACTTACATTTACCTACATTGTCTCAATTTGTTTGTGCAACACACATGAGCAGAGATGCTAGCCACTGATGGAGTGAGATCAGCTAACATCACGGTAAAGAAATGGTACGGTCCACTGTAGGGGTGTCTGATTTTGAGATTTTCGACGCATAAATATGGAAAATATATTGTAATAGTTACAATTACAGGTAAGAGGGATATGTACATTTTTTATCCCCCCTGAACTGTTGTTTTTACTTCTTTTGGGGTGGGGGGCAAGTCAGACTCCAACCCCCCCATACTTTGAACCCTGGATTATTTCCTTTCATATACGCTCTGATAAAGGCTTATTACATTTGCTAACATGGTGGAGGGATCAGTTTTCATTGATTTTAAATGGACACTAGATGTTGGCAGTTTTGCAGAAATTTGATGTTTATTTCTCATCAGTTTAGTCTCCTGTTTATGTGTTAAGTCATGTATTCATTTCTGGCTTTCTTCCGCTGCCTCACATGACTCAACTCTGCCCAGAAATAAAAACTTTTCCAGGAGAAGTTTTCCAGGAAACAAACTCAAGAGTAAATGAGCTCATAATGATTCTACTCTCAAATCCTATTGACTGTGGTGATATTTCCATTTAGTATTTAAAATTATAATCTGTAACTTCTCTACATGAAAATGTCTGAAAACAACTGTGTTCTACATGTTTTCAAGTTATGTTATTACATATTTACAAATGTTTCCATCAATTCTCAAACCAGAGAAATCTGTGATTTTAGTCAACTGTACATTTCACTGGACGCCTGTCAATGACATCATATCCTCTATGATCATGTGGCAGTGTTAGATGAGTTTTTATTGTAAGCATGTTAGCATATAAAGTATCTATTTATCTATCTATATATCTATCTATCTAAAGTTAGCATTGAGTTAAAAGCACTGTTGAGCTAAATTACAGATTGAGTTTCAGATTACAGACAATACAGAGTTTTCCTGATGAACTGAAGGAGGATAAACACCAGACAGAGGAAGAGGGATTCATATAAATGTTTGTTATTGATATTTTAAGCATTAGTAAATTATTCATTAATCATTACTAAAGCCATTAGGAGAACCATATAAACCCTTTATAAGGTGTACCTTATGAGAACATGCTACCTAATTACCTTATAGTTTATTTGCTCCACATGCTAACATGTTAGCATTGGCTTATGGTAGCCACACTGCTAACTCTTTGACATAAATTGATGTATTTTATTTCTATGTGTATTTACTCTTTGTAAATATTAATAAGGACCGAAATTGAATTGAACTTAACTGAAACGATGTCTCAGAAATATGGTGCATTCCTACAAATGTGGGGATTTTAAAAAGGGACCGTTTCTAAAAAGGTCATGCACATACAGTGAACATGCAAACCGTCCCTGACTACATATGAGTTACAAAATGTTTAATTCATTAAGCAGAGCTCTCAGTCTGTCTGACCTTCATGTGGGAGTACAATCTCCATGACTGCTTAAGGTCGAACGGCAGAGATCCAAGAGCACACAAGTCCCCCCCCCCCACTCATTTTAATGGAGAAATCAGATGACCCATTATGATTGGCTGATTCATAAGACTTGGAGTCAGCAGCAAACAACAAGACAGAAGATACGAATGCATTTTTTTTTTTTTCAAACACTGTATTTTTCCATCTCCACATAACCATCAAAATGACATGTTTAGAGTTTAGAATGTTTTATTATAGTTTATTGTGTAGCATTTTCATTTTTTCATTTTTTCGTTTTTATTTTTTCCAAAGAACAAACACAGCAAATAATGTTGAGGAGGAGAGGCAGGAAGAGAAGGGAAGAGCAAGACAGGAGGGCCACATTGATAAGATAGATAGATCAATCCATAGATAGATAGATAGATAGATAGATAGATGCGTCAGGTTTGGCTTGATCCTCCCCCTGTAATCCCCCTGGGTCCACACACACACACACACACACACACACACACACACACACACACACACACACACACTCTCACACACACACACACACACACTCACACGCTCACACACACGCTCACACACACGCTCACACTCACACGTTGCTTTACAAAGAATAATCATCATCAGAATAAGATTAATAACTGTCCGAATATATCTAGGAATAAAAAAAAAAAAAAACAAGGACAAAAGAAAAAGAAGAGGAAGAACACACCGTCAAGGAAAACAGATTCAATCACACTGCTGTGAAATCCAGAAGCTCCCTACAGTTATACAGTTAGCCTGGAGAGAAAACAGCTAGGATAGATAGACTGAAATATATGTATGCATCATCTACGTATGCATGCATATACTGTATGCAGGCTCGGTGTGTGTGCGCATGGAGGGGGGTGGGGGGTGGGAAGGAAAAAATGTCGACGTGGGTTGGATTCATCTGAAATGCCACAATTTGTACACAAAGATCAAACTAGGCCTGTAGCTCGTGTCCCTCACATACATAGTGTGTATCTACGCATGTGTAACGCATCAGCGTCAGCTGGCTAGCTAGTGGTTAAATGCCCATCTGCAGATAAAAAGGGTCAATTTGATTCACTTTAGCAGCTGTCCAAATCTCGCAGGGGGGTGGAGTTAAGGCAGACAGCTGATTTCAGGTCAGATTAAAAAGGGGCCTAGTTGATTTTTTTTTCCCTCATTCGTTTTTTTTTTTTTTTTGGACAAAACACAGGTAAGCAATAAGTTTGGCATTAAAATAGGTACAGAGCTAATGTTACCACACAGTCAGAGAAAGAGAAGAAGAAGGAGGGGGGGGGGGGAGAGGGAGGGATGAACCAGAAGTAACTGAAGTAGTAAAATATGATCATAACTGTAAAATGGCGCATATTACATTGTTGATGTGGAAGCAGAACACATCGCAGCAGTCATCGATCAAGCTCTGAGCAGCATACATCATGTACCTGCCCGCTAATTCATGGTAAAAATATTAGCTTGCTTAAAAAGGGAGAGGCCTTGACATTTCTTTTAGTTAGAATCTGTTCTCCACCGGGGATTTTTAATGCCTCTGCACATGTTAACACCCTGTTATCACTCATACTCCTCATTTAAAAGACACGGCACCTGCAACCCTCAATGTAACAGGGCGGCTCGGTTCCTTTGGATTTAAATGAGAACTGTCTTTTCCGACCCCTGGGAGAGAAATACCTAACATGCCAAGCTTGACCCTAAACAGCCAATAAACAAAAGAAAAGCTACAGAAACCTGAAGAGCCATATATACACAGAAATGTGCCCGATAAATACAGTTTACAAAAAGAAAAAAAAAAAAAAGTTTTGATTTCCAATCTATTTTCCTTTTATTCTTTAATTTCATAATGGCAGCCACTGCTCTCAACATCCCTTTGACTGTCCTGCTTGTCTTTTGTATCGTTTATGAAAAGGATCTATTTTCACACTCAACAGTTTGGTCTTTTATTCCCTCCCCAGACAATTTAAAACACTTCTTTTTTTTTTTTTATAAGTCACAACCAGTTTGTAGTGTTCATTAAATACAAATCATTTGCAAGTCAACGAAAAGGACACAAAGACGGAGAGAGAACAAAATAACATGATGAAAAAAAAAAGGGGGGGGGAGAGAGGACGCGCGAAATGACATAATTTGCACATTGTTTCATGGAAAGAAAATACAGTGAATTGAAAGCCTCCCAATCCTTACAACCTGACATACTGGAATACCTATATCATCCCTATACACACAGGCACAGCATGAAAACTGACTCAACATGTAGGAACACGTCCTGCTGCCAACGTGCTGTGTAATTTTCTTTAAAAACATGTACAAATGTGTGTGCAGACACAACACAGAGCATGGTTTATTCCATACAGTCAGTTGTTAAGAGTGTGTTTAATCTCTACTCACGATCCTGTCTCTATCTGGACAAAGTCAACTCACTGTTACTGAAAATATAGTTGTTGTTTTGTTTGTTTTTTATAATTCTGAGGTACATCAGCATGAATTAAGATGCATGGATGTTTTTAAATAAAAAGATTAAAACCTGTTTATCTAACCAAAAAAAAGAAAAAGGTGAACTTTAGAATTTGGTCAGTTTATCTGCAGGTGAATCTGACTCTTATCCTCATAAGACTGCAGGAAGTCAGGATGATTTATGAGAACGCAGCCTCTCCACCTTTACGGCGAAGAGACTTACGAAAGACATGGCTGAAAGACGAGAGAGAGAGAGAGAGAGAGAGAGACACAGAGAGGGAGGGAGGGATGGATGGGTGTGAAAGAATGGAGCAGTAGAGACAGAGAGGTTAACAAACTGTTAGTGAGCCTGGACAGTTCTGTAGAAATGCGAGGAAGGGCCGGAGAGGGCGAGGGGGAGGAGGAGGGGGGGTGGGGGGGGTGGGGGGGGTTGAAGGAGGAGGTGTGTTCTGGGGGTTCAGCAGCAGCCCCCTCCAGCCTGTTGGCCTCCCTGGCTACCGGTCAGTGTGGAGTTGGTGGTAGGGTGCTGGGGTCCAATCTTAATACCATTAGCCTGTGTGGAGACAGAGACAGAGACGGAGACAAAGAGACGGAAACGGGTTACAACATAAAATATCACGGAAGAAAATTCCTCAGTGACCATTTAGGAAAAACAGATTATAACAGTAATGATAATTAAATCTGGTTTTATCAGGAAAGCCAGTTACTGTCTGCTCTTTAAAGCTCCTCCAGTGTAAAGGTCTGTGTCCATGTGTAGTGTGATTATAGATCAGCTCTAGCTTCTATATTAATACTGTGAAAGTATCAAAGCCTCAGTCCACAGAGAAATGCACACAGCCTGTATTCAGAAACTGAGCCTTAAAACCAGCCGTCAGGACTTCTGGAACTTTGTGATGTCACAACAAAGCAGTCACCAAGCCCCGCCCACCTGGACCCACCATCCAAACCTTGCAGGATTTGGTTTCTCTGATTGTTTTTACCTGAAATCTGCTATATTTTTATTTTATCATTTTTATTTTTCATTGTCAGCCAATCAGAGAAGAGGCTCTGGGCCTCCTCTCTTCTGATTGGCTCACTGACCTGTTGTTAGTGGAGCTCTAGAGAGAAGCCTGAGAGAGCTTTAATCTATCTTTACTTTTCATACATAGAGACACGTTTTCTAAACTCTAAATAAAAAAACTTTCTCCTCCAAAAACATGTTATTCAAATTTCAACTGGTTAACATTTTTTCAACTCACCGGTTCCTGTTAGAAATATGTGGCAATCTTCAGAAAACATTCAGTCCCTTTCACTTTAATTTAATCTTACATTAGTAAATTTGCCATTTCTGTTCATCAATCAATCAACATGACAGTTGAATTGTTTGCAAATTAAAAATCAAAAACTGAAATCTTTGATTTACAAAAGTATTCAGACCCTTTGCTGTTGCAAATTGCGGTGAATCCGGTTTGCTTTAATGACATGTGTCTACAACTTGACTGCAGTCAACATGTGGCAAATTGAAATGATTGGACACAGTTATAAAGTGTGAGTGCATGTATGAATAAGGTCCCGCAAACACCACAGTCGTGTAGCTTCTTGTGGGCTAGTGTGGCTGACTAGGACTTGTATGTTCCCAGTTCGTTAGCATGTTACTGGATACAAGTATCTTTATTTTCCACTACAGGAGCTTAACGATCAGGTGCATCCACTGTTTCATATCATTTAGAGATAAAGACTAATTATTTCCCTCTTCCTGCACATTTCAGTTCGTTGTTATTTTTATGTGATTTGTTTGATTTTTATTCCAAACTAATAAACCCAATTACAGTCAAGCTCAGAGTTCTTTAATCATCATGACAAGAGAAAATGTGATTCTAATCACTGACTAAATAAAACAAACACCAGAGAATGAGTGTGTCATTGCTTTCATCGTGAGACGAACGCTGCTCGGCGCATGTAGGGGTTTCTATTAGATCACATCAGAGAGGAAACAACAGGTGCTCCTGTGCTGCACAAAGGTAAAGGAGTCACCAACAACACACCGGGAAAAAAAACACACACAAAAAAAGAGACGTATTATAAAAGAAGAGAGAGAAATGCACTTCTTTCAACTCTCTCTCGCTCTCTCTCTGTACTGTGGTGCTCACTTTCCCTCTCTGTGTTTCATCATCTCCCCCTCCTCTCTCTCTCTCTCTCTCTCTGTGTATATTTATCTCTCTCGCTCTCACTGTAACTCCCCCTCTTACAATCAGTAGCAGCAGTGCCTCTGGGAAACACTGTATGCCTTTAAATCACATTTATTGAGCTGAGGCCATGTGTGTGTCTGAGTGTGTGTGAGAGTTTTCTCTCATGGTGGCTGCCAACATTTCTGGTGGGGCTTCCCCCTCTCTCTCTCTCTCTCTCTCTCCCTCTCTCTCTGTGTTTCTCTGTGTCTCTCTCTCAGTCAGCTGATGTGGTTTGGCCGGCCGGCCTTCACTCCATCTTACTCTCACTAAGAGCATAAACACTGAGTGGCTGGCTAACTCCACTCCTGTCTGACTCAACTATTTCTACTCACTGTCTGGACCAAGGGCCAGATTTACCCTGTAACTACTCTCTGAAACAGATAACACACTTTATTTATTTATTTTATTTAAACTGGTATTTTATTCTATGATTATTTTCTGAGTGTTTTCCTTTTAATACCCAACTTTTGTTTATTTTATTTGTTTACTTTAATTTTTGGTTTCATTCTCTTCCAAACATCTCCTCTCTTTTAGCATTTTATTATTTTATCTTTACCACTTTGACTTAATTTTTTAATGTGAATTTCTTACTTTTCATTTATGGTTTGCTTTATCACAATACATGTGCTATGTTTTAATATTTTATTTTCTTATCTTTAACTTTGTTTTCCAGTCTTCAGTGTTTCCTCAGTGCAAATTTATGAGATTCAAGACGGCGTTTCCTCACTTCCTGTTATTGTTGTCATAATTTTTAGTTGTGGTTTTATAATCGCTATACAAATAATCTGATTGATTGATTGGTTGATTCTGTTTATTAAATACACAGGCTGTCTGTATCTCACTGTCTGTAAGACGTGAGCAATCATGACCATCGATCACCGATATCATCGTCCATCGGCAAAACCCTAGCAGACACGTAAATGATCATTTCTGAATTGAAGTATTTGTTACTTGTGTTTCCTGTGTTCTGCTGCTGAGCTGGTGTCCGTCTCAGAGTGGAAAACTGAGCTGAACACCTGAAATATGTGAAATACAGCTCCTCTGGTTAACGGGTACAACGGGGTCCGAAAGTCTCTCGCCACTTTCCCACTGGGAAACTGTGCCGCTGTTTGTGAGCCGTGATTTCAATCACTAATGTTGAGATTTTGTCTGAGAACATATTCAGGTGTTTATGTCTTTATGAAAAGAACCTGAGACACATTTTCACAGGTAAACTGCATTTTTGTCAGACCAACACTTGGACTTGCTGACAGTCCAGGTGTCTGGACTCTCCTGCATGGATAGCCGTTTCACTAAGAAGATAACCATCTGGTTGACTGGATAGCAAACTTACTGACTGGCTGCATAGGCGGCTTACAGACCGACTGGCTGACGTGTTTGTTTTCTTACAGGATGATTGAGACCTTGTGGGATGTGTGGAATTTATGAGCTGGCAGATGCTGAGAGAGAGAGCGAGAGAGAGCGAGAGAGAGGAATAGTGTGGAAAATAGAGCAGGTGAGAGGAGGTGCACAGGGAGTTTTGCTTGGCTGGAGTCAAAGGAAGCAGCGAGGAGGGTTTTTTTTTTCCTCCCCTCTTTTTGAGGAGAGAGGGAGCGTGGCAAACCACACACACTGCAGGAAAACCACACTGAGGAGAAAGAGGAGAACAAAGGCTGGAAGAGGGAAGAAGACGGCCTGAAAAAAAAAGAAAAGAAAAAAAAAGAAGAGCGAGAACGAAGAGGTTTCTGGAGGAAGCGAGGGAGGGATCAGCACATCTTACCTCATTGTTGATATCGAACACCCCCTCCTGGATCTTCTCGTAGATCTCCTTGGCTGTGTTGATGAAAGCCTGAGAAAGAGACAGGAAGTGAGGGATAGGAGAGGTTTGTACGAGCTCTTATGGAAATGTTTTTACAGCGACGCCAAACGTAATCACCACCATGCAAAACAGATTCAGACACAGAAGAACACAACCAGACTGGAAGCATTTACAGAAGCATTCAGAGACTTGTGTGTCCTGTTGTCTTGAAGCAAACCGAACTGATTATTTCAGAGAGGCACACACCAGTGTTCATAACGTCCCACAATCCACACTAGATATGTCAGGACAAAAACCAAAGCATGACGTCTAAGAAACGTCATGAAAAATGTCCAGAGATAAAACCAACGTCAGTTTGTGTAGCTGCAGGTGTTTGGGTGCTTAAAATTCTGTCCGATGAAACCACAGCTTCATAAAGCGTATCTCTCTTCCCCTTTACCCATGAGTGATAACCCCTTAGCATCTCTTCAGAACAGTTAGTGTAGTTAGCATCTTTTCAAAACGGTTAGCACAGTTAGCATCTTTTCAGAACGGTTAGTGCAGTTAGCATCTTTTCAGAACGGTTAGTGCAGTTAGCATCTTTTCAGAACGGTTAGTGTAGTTAGCATCTTTTCAAAACGGTTAGCACAGTTAGCATCTTTTCAGAACGGTTAGTGTAGTTAGCATCTTTTCAAAACGGTTAGCACAGTTAGCATCTTTTCAAAACGGTTAGCACAGTTAGCATCTTTTCAGAACGGTTAGTGCAGTTAGCATCTTTTCAGAACGGTTAGTGCAGTTAGCATCTTTTCAGAATGGTTAGCACAGTTAGCATCTTTTCGGAACAGTTAGCGCAGTTAGCATCTTTTCAGAACAGTTAGTGTAGTTAGCATCTTTTCAGAACGGTTAGCACAGTTAGCATTTTTTCGGAACAGTTAGCGCAATTAGCATCTTTTCAGAACGGTTAGCACAGTTAGCATCTTTTCGGAACAGTTAGCTCAGTTAGCATCTTTTCAGAACGGTTAGTGCAGTTAGCATCTTTTCAGAACGGTTAGCACAGTTAGCATCTTTTCGGAACAGTTAGCTCAGTTAGCATCTTTTCAGAACGGTTAGTGCAGTTAGCATCTTTTCAGAACGGTTAGCACAGTTAGCATCTTTTAGTGAGATTGGTTAGTGCAGTTAGCATCTTTTTATTTGTTTATGTTGTTTGTTAGTTTGTAACTGGCTGACACAGAGTTAGCAGTTGTGCTAATGCTAACTCTCTCTCTGTACTGACAAGATTTCAGGTTTATTTAAACCCGTCCCCACAAGGTGACAGGATTGGTTCCTTAGGTTTGTGACATATGAAACCCTGGATCTGTTTTTAAGAGACTGTCATTGGTTCACTGCAGTTCAAGGTGGAAACACTCAGTCATGGTGCTGATGATTATGTCATTGTCGAGTGTCTTTAATGTTATTGTCTTGTCCCATTTTTCTGCTTCAACAAAAAACAGATCAGAGAAGGAAGATGCTCTAAAATGTTACGTTTGGACTTAACAGAGCTCAAGATGTCGACGACTTTCAGAATACATGAGGCCCGTTAAGGCTTTTAACGAGTTTAGATGATACAACTGAAGACCTCGTTAGGAGATGCAGAAACCCTTTAGAACAAATCTACTTCTTCTAGTCAACAGATACTACAACAATCAGATCTGAGCAGATCACACACACACACACACACACACACACACACACACACACACACACACACACACACACACACCAACAGCACACACACACACACACACACACACACACACACACACACACACACACACACGTCTATGGAGAAACAATGAAACAGCAAATCCAACTGCCTTCACACACACATTTTTTTAGGCCATAAAAACATGTGTGATCCTTAAGTGGAATCGTTAAGAACTGAAAATACGTCCTGAACTCCGATCTGACACCCTGTCGGAAATAGACTCCTGTCCTGTTAACTCTGTCCTATTTCCTCCCTTCAACACATCCCCGCATCCCTCGTTCATTCACGTCTTCATGCACTTCCATAACTGAAATATTAAGTTCAGATGTGTGTGGACTTTAAATGATAGGAAGAGAGAGAGAGAAACAGAAGTAAAATCAGGAGAAGAGAAAATGTTTATAGAAGACGAAGGAGAAGAGCAGGAAGAGCTGAAAAGCAGCGAAAAAAGAGAACGAGGAGTAAAATGTAAAACAAAAAAAATGAGATCAGTGAAAAAATACAGACAGTATCAGAAGAGAGAGAGAGAGAGAGAGAGAGTGAGAGAGAGAGAAAAGAAGAAATGAGTAGAAGCTGAGAATAAGGTGTCAAGGAAGTAAGGAAAGAAGAAAGGATGAGGAGATGCTTACAGGAATCTCTCCCTCTCCCTCTCTCTCTCTAAGGACCATCCCATCAGCCCTGGTGTCCACCCACAGACCCTCATGATAAAGCCAGCGCACTGATTGGCTGCTGGATGCTGCTGGAGGTAGGGTGGGGGTTATGAATATGTATGAACTATAAGTGGTTGATATACTGCTGGAGAAAAGGAGATGATGGATAAGAGGGAGGAGGAGGAGGAGGGCAGGGAGACATGGAGGGGAAAATACAGGAAGACACGTTGGTTAAGGGGTGGGAGGAAGAAACGGATGGAGGATGGGAGGGGGGGGAGTAGGTGACGGAGGATGGGAGAGAGGTAAAAAGCAAATGATGGACGTCATGGGATGAGGAGGGATGGAGCGAGGAGAGATGAGGGGAAGGGAGGAGAGGAGCGGTATCAGGAGGATTCAGAGGACACTAATGAGACAAATTAATCATACCACACACACACACACACACACACACACACACCCCGCCCCCCTCATCTTAACCCCAGAGCACCTCAGAGCTCAACTCCACAGCGGTGTGGGGGTCTGATTTTGCATGATATAGGCCACGCAAGAGGTTAGAGAAGAAGAAGAAGAGGAGGAGGAAAAAAATCAGTAAACACGCACACACATGCACGACGGCACACTGTGGCGCCCTTGGCTAGCACGCTGTGCTGTGTAGGATGGGATTATTTATGTGACTGGGTAAGTGAGAAAGGGGTCCCCAAGGACAATGGCGTGCATTCATTACACACAACAACACCAGGGGTGTGTCCCTGCGAGAGGCGGAGCAGCTCACGCTCTCCCTCTGCTAACTGTGGCTCATGGTGCTAATGTGACGCTGGCGAGGTGAGGCTTCCGGCACGGCGAGCTGTGCTGCTTCAGGTAAACGGTCAACAGGAGGTGGAGCTCTGAGTGCGAGGACAGTGCAGAGGCAGGACTGAACTACAGTAGGTAAGATGGTGGAGGCTAAAAATAAAAAAATAAAAATAAATAAATAAAAAAATCATTGTCATTTTTGTCATTTAATGGTCACTGACACCCGGGAACCACGAACAAACCTGTTGTCAACAGGCCAACGCTGATATTGTGTGTGATGTCTGTGGATCTTGCAGCACCTCCTGCTCCCGCATGCTTCAACAAGTTATATCGACCTTTTTGCCACCACACAGAATCAAATTTTATACTCGTTTCATGGCCAAAAGTCTCAGGTTTCAGAGCTTCCCAGCAGAATATATCAATAATCACTACTGAGACAATTCATTCATGTTAGCTGGATCCAGATAAGCAGCATAAAACGGGCAGGAGGGTTAAGTTTGTTAATTATGAGACGATAAACTGCCCAGATACCCACGCTAACAGAAACACACAAAAGCCCTGCTGTAGACGGATCAAATATATATATTCATATCTATAGGAGGTTTTCCTTAGGGACAGTTGACACGGTGGGAGAGAGTGGAGAGGAGGAAGATCAGCTGGAAGGATGTGAGGGCCATGGAGGAAAGGCGATCGCTCCCTGCCAGCCTTACCCGTTTGACATGACACATGGCATCACAACTAAGTCCTAAAGTGCATTAGCCAACGCTCAGTGTGTGTGATTGGAAGACGCTGGCTGACGTCATTTCCTCCAGGCATTGCTGCTCGATTCAGTGCTCTGGTCCGCTCCCTGAGCTCTCCGTACCCTGGGAGGAGTCTGCAACATCTACCGCCTGTTTGCTCAGAGAGCTGGGAATCAGAGGCCAGAGCGTGGACATTAAAGCCACGTCGGAGGCAGCAGAGAAGCAGCCACTGGCGTCGCATGAAGAGGCAAGACCCCCGCTGGGCCGTGAAATAGCAGGCCAGGACGACACAGCGGGGGGTGTTTCTGGGATGCTTGGATTCAGTGTTGAGCCCCCAGGAGGTGTAGCACGCTCATAGACGAGAAGTCAAGGAAGGAGGGTGCAAAACTCCTCTGTGTTAACCTTCCAGCATCAAGAAGACTCACTCTCTTGTAAATGCTCGCACAGAGAGTGTTGACATCTTATCCAAGACCGAGCCACAGGCATGTTAGTGTCTCTGTGAGGCTGCACGTCTTCACAGCAGCAGCAGCAGCTCATATATAGGTATAGCGTTTAACATGTTAGCCATCTCAGTTTAGCATGTTAGCATGCTAACATTTGTCAACAGACATACACACCACACATACGCAAGTCCCTCTTTCTCCTTATTATTTATCTATTTATTTTTTAAATTATAATTGTGTGTGGGAATAAACCTCTACCGCGTTTTGGTTTACTGGAGTTGACAACAACTACAGTCGTAGCTCTGCGAGTGTCATCACAACCTTGGCGAGTAAAAACCTCCACCGCGGTTTGTTTTACACGAGCGTAGTGCACTGAGCTAACGTTGAGCTAATAGTAAACGGTTATGACTAACTACAGACTGAGACAGCCCCCCCCCCCAGCAGTGTGTTGTTTATTTATCACAGTATTGAACAGTGTTTTCCTCATAGCAGGCCGAGTAGAACACTCCTCATACATGTATATACCTCAACACCATTTTATTTTTCTACTAGATACCCTCTACATTATTATCATTATTCCAATTTCTCTCTTCTTCTTATTTTTCTTTGTTTTTCTCTTTCGTGTTCAGGTCCAATCTATTTCTAGTGTTACTCTTGTCTTCACTTGTTTTGTAATCATTTCAAAAAGGCGGAAAAAAAGAAACAAATTGAAATTTTGACCTGATGGTGGCACTAGAACAAAAGTCACTAGATCACCAAAATATGAATTAAATTTCACTTCTAATACAACTACTACTCATTCTTAATACGCAGCCAGTGTGGGACAAACCATGGATATAACTTTCTATCTATAACCCTCTTCAATAATATGCTGAAGACAAAACAGTCAAAGCCTCCGGAGGGTTTTGGTGATTATAAACACTTCCTGGCATCAATCATGACACATTCAAACATGTATTATTAGTCCTCAGTGGATTCGTTTAATGCTTGCATTGTGCTCCAAAAAGAAAAAAAAACCCAGATGACTAACTGCAGCTACAGATGTCAACAGGCAGCACTGATATCTGTGAAATAGCAGATAATGTGTGTGACGTTCTGGTGTCGCCCTTCTTATGAGAAAAGATTGATATGTGAGGAGAAAGCTGTTTAGTGTTGCCCTGCAGGGAGAAGATCACATTCAAGATAGATTTTAAAACAACATGTCACTTTTGAAATGTAGCCCGAATCAAAGCATTGGGTTTGTGTGTGTGTGTGTGTGTGTGTGTGTGTGTTATTACCTCCTCGACATTAGAGGCAGTCTTGGCTGAGGTCTCCATGAATATGAGGCCGTGTTCTCTGGCAAACGCTTCACCTTCCTCTTTCTTCACCTCTCTCCTCGACTCCAGGTCACTGGAAACACACATTTGTAGAAGAGGATGACTCAGGACACGATCACTGACGTTCTCACGGGGAGCAATGACCAGTTTTCTCTAACGCTTCCCTTCATGATGACATACCACAGATAACAGCAGGTAGAGATGACTGTGACCTGCTGCCCTCTGCTGCTACCTGGCTAACCTCTCCATGCAGAATTAACGTTGAAGCTAATTTACCAACAGATGTACGAGTCAACTTGCATTAGCTTCAAGGTGTTTGTATCAACAACAGAATTTTTTCTTTTAACGTAATGTGTATAATTTCTCTTTATCTTCCATGACACTGTTATGTAACCTCTGGTACAGCGTGAGCCGTCTGTTTTGTCAATAACTACTTGAGGTTTAGTGCAGAAGTGAACTTCCTCATTTAGATTTGACAGGAGAAAGTGTTCAAACCGCTTCACTTTTTGAAAACTTTGTGTCGTAGATTTAGTTTCAAATGAATAAAATACAATTTTTGCCCATTAATCTAAAGTCAATAACCTATAATGACAAAATAAAACATGTTTCTAGATTTGAGGCACTGAAAATGATTCATTCAAGTTTCCTAACTTTGACACTTGACCATTATATGAGAATAAACGAACTACTGTGTTTGTTACAGGTTAAAAACAGCTTTTTCCACCCACAATCAACTGTCATCACAATCTCACTTTTATTTTATAGGTGTAAATGTCTCTGCACGTCACATATAAAAACTTTCCTAAAATCCCTTCCTGTGCCAGACATGGGAAAATATTGAAGAGTTTTTTGTTTTTAAAGTAAATTTTAGACTTTTTAAACCTTCCAATGACTTTTTGGAGGAAACTAAATTCAGTTTTTTTGAGACCTGCAGATTGCCTGAGAAGGTCATGTCCTCTGTATTGTCTGGAGGTTTCGGGAACTCGAGGAGGGGTTTCCAATCTACAATAACACGCAGAATTACACAGTATTTACACCTATACTGACAGACTAAGGAACTCACTGGGTGTGTGTGTGTGTGTGTGTGTGTGTGTGTGTGTGTGTGTGTGTGTGTGTGTGTGTGTGGCAGCTGCTGAACGTCTTGGTTTTCATTTCAGCGCCTATGTTAACGGGTTAGAGCGGACACACTGCCTGCATGACACGCGTGTCTCGCACCTCGCAGCTGCGTCACGTGACATGGAGATTCGGCGTCTTGCCCATTTTTCAAGCCTGAGGCGTGCGGGCAGTATTTCACTGGTTCCCTCTCTCTCTCCCTCTGTGTGTCTTCCTCTGATCGAGGGTAAATAATGTTAATAATAAAAAGAAATCCAACATTTGAGTATTGATGGCAACGACGCAGCCGCCATGCATCCTGAGCGTAAATCTGCAAAGCGGTGATGACAGTTTACTGGAGCTCCACAAACTGGATTAAACTGAATTGATGGTACATAGTCTAAGGAACTCTCTGTGTGATAAAATTGTGGGAAAGCGTTGATCAGGACGAGGGTTTAAAACCATCTGTAAAGCTCCGAGTGTTCCCAGCAGCGCAGTGGCCTCGATAATTGTGAAATGGAAGAAGTTTGGAACGACCAGAACTCTTCCTAACCGAGGGGTCTTGGTCAGGGAGGCGACCAAGAACCCAACAGTCCCTCTAACGGACCTTCAGAAGTCCTCTGCAGAGACAAGAGAACCTGCTGCGAGGACGACGACCAGCTCAGCAGCTCTCTATCGATGGCGGTGAAGTGACTGGACAGAAGCCACTTTGAGTAACAGTTTGAGTTTGTCAGACAGAATCGTAAGAACTAGAGGAAAGAGATTCTCTGGTCTGATGAGACACAAACAGAACTCCAAGTTCTACATCTGGCAAACACCAGGCGCTGCTCATCAGCTGGCAAATACAAACCAATAAAACCTGCTGAAAACGCTCGAGTGCCTCTGTGCTTTTGTAGATGAGAGAGTTCAGCTTGTAATTTTAAATACATTTGCAAAGATATAAAAAAAAAAAAACATGTTTTCACGCCATCATTGTGGCTTATACAGCGTAGACTACTGGGAAAATAAACGTCAATTTTATCTGTTTAAAATGAAATGTACAACACAATAGAGTGAAGGCGGCCTGGATGTTTTCTGAAGTCACTGTAGCTTCAAGGATTCTGCAACAACAGACGCCAACAGAACTCTTTTGACATAACTTTATCTTACACAACCCCATGTTGTGCAGCCTCGGCCACAGAGAGCGGAGAGTGCAGGTTTGTTGCAGAGTTTAGTTCCTGATGTAAATCTGATAAAAAAAAAATATATATGCATTTCTCTAAAGTTAGTGTGGAGCTATTTCATTTAGTTGACTGAAGACCGGGTGCAGACATAACGGCTTCCCAGCTTGCTTGGACAAATGTTGAACGTTAAACCCGCACTGCTGCCACTGCTGTGTGGAGCAGAGCGTGTTAATGCATCTGGAAGCGAACGGGACCTCACCTCTTGTTGCCAATGAGCATGATGACCATATTTGAGTTGGAATGTTGGCGAGCGTCCTCTAACCAGGTCGTCAAGTGGTTGAAGGTGTCCCGTCTGTTCAAACAAGCACATTTCTGGTTTCAGTCTGACGATACTTTTTGTAAAACTGAAAACATCACAGACAAAGCACCTGTCCTCACACACACACACACACACACACACACACACACACACACACACACACACACACACACACACACACACTAAACAGTATGTGTGTTTGTTGTTTTTCTTTGACTTGATTGTCCGTGTTGTAGAAAGCACAGGAGTGAGTTTTTTATTTATTAAATCAATTAATTTGATGCCATGAATGTGATGAGTGCCTACACACCTACATCTTTATCTTTCAGATCAATATCTATCTCATTACAATATCCTTTCTGAAATATTTTGGGTAACAATGAATTTCCTGTTTCCGTCACAGACAGGCGAGAGTTGGTGCATTTCCACTAGAATTTACACACATCTAATATCTAATCAATCCTCATTGGGTATTGTAAGGTTTCCCTCTCTTTCCCATCTTTCTTTAATGTTTAATAACGTGTGTGTTTTTGTTTTTTTTGTTGTAAGACTTTTATAAAGACTAGAAATAATATTGTTTGAATGATTTTGACAGGCATCAATAAATATCCTGAATATCGGATCATTCCTGTCAGTTTTATTTATAATACTGTGTTGACAATGGTTGCGTACCTGGAGATATCTGCAGTGTATTTATCTTTCTGTGTGTGGATTATTAAAACCTGAAAAACATTTCACCCTGTCACAACATGCTCACAACCTAAAGGCGGGAAGTGGGCGGTATATTAGTTTAGATATTTAAGTTTTTAAGCTCTTTCAGGACACGGTGTTTTTATAACATCCTACTTCTAAATGACAGAGTGTTGATCTGATTGGCTGTTACCTTGTGATGTCATAGACTAGCAGTGCTCCTGCAGCTCCTCTGTAGTAAGACCTGGTGATGGACCGGAACGACTCCTGACCAGCCTGCAGAGACAGAGACAGACACACACACACACACACACACACACACACACACACACACACACACACACACACACACACACACACGATATGTTAAAGGACAAACCTGAAAAATGAGTGAGTGAGCAAAATGAGGGAGGGGTCAACGTCACCAGAACTCAGCCTGGTTGAACAGATGTGTAAGACACCATCACCAAATCCATTCCTCTAGTAGAGTCGTAGCATCAACTTATATTGATATATTGATATATTGATATATTGATAAATGGAAAGTGAAATTTGAATAGCTGAATCGACCACAGACGACGCTGTTCCTTTGGTTTTCTGGCCCTGATGCTGCCTGAAGTCTGACTCGGGCTCCAGTCACGGTTCCCTGTGAGTCCTAACCCTGCAGTCTAGTCAGACACATGCTCTGTACCAGTCCTGATTATCTGGCAGAGTCCAGCTCCGGGTTTTCAGTCAGCTGGAGAGAGGACAGGACAGAGCAGAGCCTATAATTGGATACAATGGAGAATCTCTCTCTTTCTTTTTCCATGTAACTGTCACGATTCCTTTCTTTCTCTCTGCTCATGTGTCTCCACTCTCCGTTTTCTTATCTATAAACAAAATGGCGCATCACATCGGCTGCGGCGCTGTGTGGATTAAACCTGTAGCACCACACCTGACAGTGAGTCCAGCTCGACGGGTCACCTTGTCTGCTCGCTCGCCCTCCTTCATTGCCTTTCCTCTACTCTCTCTCTTCCACTCTCATCTTTTCATTCCCTCTCCATAAATCCCTCTTTCTATGACTCCTTTCACTATCTAGAAATTCTTACCACCCACCCGCCCATTTCCTCAGCTGGTTAAAAAATCAAGTGAATGTCACTGCAGACCAAGAACTACAAACATCCTCTGATTCTGAATTAAATAAAAACAACTCTTACCTGTG